TCGTGAGGAAACCTGCATGTCTGAGAGAACCTAGTAAGTTTTCAAAAGACATGTGAAGTCCGCCAACCCGCACTTGGCCAGCGTGGTGGACTATGGCCTGATCCCCGTCGTATTGAAGGGAGGCCCGTGCCCTGCAGTGGGACGTTAAAAAGGGCTGAATACAATAATTAAATCTACAAAAAGTATAGAAAACCAGAATTAAGACATATCAGAAAAAATATATCAAACACGAGCTAAAGCCAGTATCAAAACTAGGACATAATTTCTAAAGATGTTATAACCATTCAAAGCTAACCATTGACGGTACATTGCCTTAAGGCATATTGTCGTTATTATTCCATTTATGGCCATACAAATTTACATAAATTAAACATTTTCAAAGACCTATTAAACCTACGCGAATACTGATTGAAAACTTGTTACAAGTAAAATATACGATATTATGCAGACCTAAAGTACATTTTAGTTAAACTCACAGTTTTATACCGTAGTTTCCGAATTCAGTGAGTAATTGAATATTCACACCTGAATGGTTCTCTGTTTGAAGTTTTGATCAGTCGTAGAAAAAGCTGATTTTGATCATCTTTCAAACTTCGGGCTCAATCAGTTAGGCTGAATTGATCGCGCTGTAATTCGCGTCATCGCATATATGGGTCTCATTATATGTGGTTCACAGAACCCATGCAGCGTAGCAAAAGTATGTAATTGCATATGTCAACAATCTTTATTCTCTGTATGGGTAATATGTTTAGTAGTTTTATACGTCATATGTGGTAGCACGCTTGTTTGAAAAATTCAAACCTTAGGTCTCGCACTTTGATAATTTTTATCTAATGAAGCAAGTGCTTACATATATATATATATATATATATATATATATATATATATATATATATGTACTGTCATGAAATAAACATTTTATCCACATAAAGTAAAATTTCTCTTCTAGCTTTGCGTCAAAAACCAAAAGTCAAAAGTTAATATAACTTAAAATTAAAGTTATAGCCTCTCGGCAATTTTCGTTATCAAAAGTTTTTGCAACATTAAATTCTAAAAGGTAGTTATGAAAATATAAAACTAACCACTAAATAATTCAGGCGTAATACTCTGAATAAAATATCCATAAACCAGACCTATTTTATTATTATCCTCTTATATTAAACAGTTTAAGATTAAGGATATAAAAATAAACCTTTCTATAAAAATATTCACTGATTCCTGGAACTATTCAAATTATTTAAGTGATGATGATGATGATGTTCTCCTGACCGATTCCGGCTACGGCGGCCAATCTCATCGAGACTAGCCAACTGCGCAGGAGATATTATAGTGCACAAGTGTACGCACAGACACAAGTGCACTCTCTATTCCTGTCACTCTCATACTCTGGTGGGACGACCACTCGACACGACCAGTGAGAGTTAAGGCGCAGGACCGACGGCTTTACGTGCTCTCCGAGGCACGGGGGTGAAACACCGCCAACTTCCCAACTCCGGGCTGTTACTGAGGCCTAATATACAGAAAGATTCAATTACTAAACTTGGCCCGACCCGGGACCCGAACCGAGGACCTCCGGGTGTGCAGCCATACATGCTAGCCACTACACGACCGAGGCAGTTCTATAAGTAGTTGTAGACTAAAGTCACAACCATCTGAAGAAATAAATTATTGTAGTTATTCTACAAATATAATAATAAGTACACTATAAAGGTACTCTTATTTCAAATTATGAACTGTGTATATAAATATACAAGCGCTTCACCCTCACTTCGGTCGGGTTCGTCCCTAGCTCGATTCCCCATACAAATTTTCATCTCCATTTTCACCCCCTTAGGAGATGATTTCCGGGATAAAAAGTATCCTATGTCCTTTCTAGGGTCTCAAACTATCTTCTTGCCAAATTTCATCTAAATCGGTTCAGTAGATTCCGAAATTATCCCCTACAACGTCACAAACTCACAATCTCACAAACTTTACCTCTTTATAATATTAGTATAGATGAAATTTAATGGAAATCCCCTTACTATTACAACCCCTAAGTGATTAGAAGTCTCGGTAGGATTACGATTGAGTAGTGCCTCAACAGCTAATTAATTAACTATCATGTAGATTTTTACGTTGAAATTCTTTGTGCATACGAGTAGTACTCGTATAATATATGGTAGTGTACATATGACATAGATGTACATGTAGAAAAAATTAAGTAATTAAAAACAAATGTAAGTTTTTTTTAACCTCCTGCCTACCAGAGACACTTTTTTTGGAGTACGCTCTTGAAATTTTAGTATAATATCGGTAATAGGGTATTATATGCTGGAAAAATAGTAAAAAAAATCCTATATCTGGAAAAACGGTTTTCCACTATGTCCTATATGTAGGACAAAGTGACTATATTACTATGTGATTTGTGTAGGACATAGAATAGTTTATAAATATAAATTGTAATTAGAAAAGAAATTAAACACAAATACAACATATTGTGACCTTTATATTATATATAGGCATTATAAAGTTTCTGAAAAAAAACCAAAAAGAAAACTTCTTCAAATAAAACTTTCAAAATTAAACATTTCTTGTCATAAAAATAACTAAATATTATTATGAACTTATAAATCAGTCTCAATTAGGTATATATTTAGATATTAATCAAGTTTTATCGACACTTATACCCTTCTACTACTACTACTCTAAGTTTTGGTGAAAATCGGAATAACAATTCCTATTTGGCGTGAAGCAGAGATTAATATCACATTTTTTGCAAAATACTGTAGTTTTTTAGATGGGCAAATGTAGTATAACCTGATAAATCACCACGTCACAAACTGCGCCTTGCGGCGTAGCAAGAATCTTCAGCCCAACAGGGTTCGGTTTGTTAGAACAGTATTAGTGCATCGGACATTTTCCAATAAACGGAATAATCATTTCGTCAATATTCTTGGGCCGGTTTTGTTCGTGACACATCTCCAAGCTTCGATTAAACAGTGGCTGTATTTTCCAATTTTTTGTATCTTCTGTTCTGCTGTCACTTCAGCATCATAAACACACTTCAGCCGTCGTCTGATAAAAAAGAATCTGTTCCTTGTCATAGCTATTGCAACTATGGAAACTTTCCACTTTTCTGACCAGTACATATCAATTTGTGGATACTGCAGTACTGACATTATCATTTTTATTCCTATATTCTGAATCTAATGTATCCTTGGTCCAGGTATCTTGAAAGCCATCATTATGTTGACGATTCCTATTTGCAATCTGGTGGGTTGACAAAGGCGACGATTGCGGCCATGGAGTATCCTCGCTCAAACTACCACGTCCACGACCGCGGCCATGTCTATGTTCACGTGAAACACTGCTACCACGTCCTTTGAGCGGGGCCGTGATGACGTCAATACGATATCAGAACTGCTAGAGAACGCAGGGGAAGCAGCTGCAAGAACTAATGTGTTTCCCTCTTCATCTGAACTGCTTGACTCACTGATTTGATGATCATTGGCTGTTTGGTTAAGTTCTGGCGGCACAAACTTCGAATCTTCATCTGAATCATCTCCCGAAAATTCAAACTCAGAATCGTTTAACGCCTCCGCTATTCCATTGTCCGTTAAAACTAGAACAAACATAAGTAAGATAAAATATCTATCAATGTACTTTATATAGTACATCGGAAGTTTAAGTACTAAAACTTTTATTGCCTACATTTGTCTTCTGCAAAGGACATAAAAAAATACAATACGTTGTCTTGCATGTTTTATACAATTACGCAAAAATACAATTACATATCATAATTTTAAACTTCTAATTACTTTACTATCGCAAGAAATCCAATAAAAATTTAGATTTACATAAGATTTAAATCGATTAACTTACCTCTGCGCGCAAGCATCGACACATGTCTGTCTTCCATCGCCATTTTGAAAAAAGAGGATCACATGGGAACTAATATTTATCTCTATTTGGAAACCCAGATAGTCGATAGATGTCACCACGCAAATATTTTGGGATTATGATTTTAAAAACCGGTAGTATATTTTTTTAATTCCTATGTCCTGGCTGTAGTACAGATGTAGGCAGGAGGTTAAATAATTTTTAGCCAAATTACTTTAAAATCAATGTCACATTATCATTAAGTAGTATCTTTAAACCTATTAAATTGACCATCCGTATATATATATACATACATTTTATTCCTTTAAGTATTAGCTTTCTTAACAGAAGAAACGATTGTTAATAGATTTCTATTATCTCATGTAGATTTAAATATAAATTGCACTACGTACAATAATATCGTTGATAGCTAATGTTTTTAAGTTTGTAAGCTTAGATGCAGGGGTTAGTTTTAAATCATTATACCTATTCTGAAAATCCTTCAACTAGTAGGAAGGAACAATACCACCAAGTGACTATTCCGATTGAACTGTATCTCTATTCCGATAAAAAAAGAAATCATAATAATTTTAATTGAAGTAGGAAAAAACTGACTGGTGAGTAGCTTTATCGGCTACAATTAAACATCTAGGAATGTACCCAAGCAAAGAAATGTAATAATATTGAGCAAGTGTACATCTATACATATAATAAAATTGTAACTAAGTCGAATCTGTACATTAAATATTCTTTGGAAAATCTTATTGAAATAGACATTATTATCGATACAGAGTCCGAATGTATAGTTTTTAGAATTTTTGTCTGTCTGTCAGTCTGTCTGTTACGGCATCACTAGAAAACCACTGGACAGATTTTGATGAAATTTGGTATGATGATAGCTGGTTATCCGGGCCAATATATAGGGTACTTTTTACCGCAGGAAAATATCTCATTTCTGAGAAAAAATACAAAAACTGAATTGTAAGAGTATGTAAAACCTAAGAATTTGGTTTTTGGTCATCTGGACGCGGGCGGAACCGCGGGCAATGCTAATTTAAAATATATTAAAGAATAACTTACGTGTTATTGGCGGAGGATAGCCTCCTGTGCAGGCTGCGCAGCGACATGGCGTACCCCTAGCAGGGCGGGCTGCCACTGCCCTTGCCGCGCGGCCGGCGTAGTGCGCGCGCGCCGAAGAACGCGCCCTCCTCGTTGCACGACTGCGAGCGCTGCGACGCCAGCATGCCGGCCGCGCGGCTCAGCGCGTGCAAAGGCCGCACGCGCGCGCGCCTACCCCACCCGCACCCGGCCACCACCTCAATCTTGCCGACCGGGCACACTTTACCGATTTCTATCCGAATGTACACTATAACTAGCCAGTCCGCCTCATAAATGTCACGCACAACACTACACGCATTCACAATATGCTTGGCACTTCAATTTGTTATTCTACTTATGCTAACATTACTTAGTTTGAAGGCTTCGTATGTATATGGTTTTTTTAGTATAAAACACTCTCTGTTCGCGCCCTCAGGTAGCAGTCGAATCTGGAACAAATTGTTTTCATTAAACTGCGAACTGTACATACCCTTATTTCATATTTTAATAAGAAATTAGACCAGCTCTTAGTATTTACTGTAGCAAAAAGTTCTACTTCACTCGAAATATACGAGTAATGTATGACACATTTTAGAAGTAAAACTTCTCATCATCATAATTATTCGCCCTTAAAAGACATGTTTGAGTATTTAATTGAGTCACGAAATGATTTTGCTTTACCTGTAATTATAAAGTGAGAATAACTAAATGACTTTCGTTAAAAATATGAAGTTTCTATCTACAGTGTGGCAGAATATTTGACATTCAACATTTTGTCTTAGTACTTAAAAAACTTCCATCTAATTACAACTAACTCTAACTCATTTCATTTAAAAAACACACACAACAATGTGATTTCTTATTATGTATGTATGTCACCACTTCATTTAAGAAATTTGCTCGGAACTTCTGTTATTTTACTTATATAGAAACGACGAAGACAAATGAGGGCTACCGCACAAATTTTGCCACGAGAGGCGCTAGTGTAGAGTGAGGTCTCTAGAAATGTCAAATGACACTGAATGTTTACTCTTTGCGAGCTTTTTATCGCGGATCTTCAGTAATATTGTAAGGATTGTGCTATTCCTGATTAATTAAAGACACGGTACGGTTCAACAAATGTTATTGCTTTAAAAAAAGAGCTAAGAAAAAGTCAATATTTTATCTATTTAGATTTATACAAGTTTTATATATTAATTATTTAAAACAAAATCCTGATAAATTGGTGCCGCACTAACAATATTATTATTATATTGAAATTATTTATAGTTTCATTTACTGCACTTATTTGTACTTATTTGCACGATGCCTTATTATATACATATATAATGAGCTTTTATGCTTAATTAAAAATAATGGTTTTTCAATTTTTTGTCATACTTTAGTACCTAACTCTTTACCATTTTATAAAGATAAGAGAGATTATTAAAAATGATATTCATGATGACTAAGACTGTCAGCTAAGCTTAATGCATGTTTATGAAAAAATAAGAATAATGATTTGTAACTAATGTAACTGTTATTGTTAACATATTTATGTTACTTTTCTAGATATTATCATTACATAATCAGAAATATCTAAATTGGCATATTTGTTCTATAGAAATAAAATTCTAAACTATCCAAAAAGAGTGATGATGATGATGATGTTCTCCTAGCCGATTCCGGCTACGGCGGCCAATCTCATTGAGACTAGCCATCTGCGCAGGAGATATTAAAGTGCTCAAGTGTACGCGCAGACACAAGTGCACTCTCTATTCCTATCACTCTCATACTCCAGTGGGACGACTGCTCGACACGACCGGTGAGACTTAAGGCGCAGGACCGACGGCTTTACGTGCTCTCCGAGGCACGGGGGTGAAGCACCGCCAACTTCCCAACTCCGGGCTGTTACTGAGACTTACTATACAGAAAGACTCAATAACTAAACTTGGCCCGACCCGGGACTCGAACCCAGGACCTCCGAGTGTGCAGCCGTACATGCTAGCCACTACACCACCGAGGCAGTTAAATATTCCCAAAAAGAGTATAATATGTATGAATTTGATTTAAAAGTACAGTTTTCAGACCTTTAACAAATACTATGGCTTATAGGTATTCATCCTGGTTAAAGCCTAGTAAATCCTTAAAATCCATTGTTCAGTCAATATCACGTCCTATTGTACAATATGTGAGAACCAGTTAACAATTCTGTTAGGGCGTACATTCCTAAACAAGTCAAGTCTAAAAATAAAACAGTAAAGGCTGTCTCTTACACGTTTTTAGGAGTAATATGGCAAAATAAATATAGCTACCAAATTCTAGTTTCATTATCTTCCATTAGTTATATTAAATATTTCGAGAATATCTCATTTATTTCTATTAGGGTTCTTGATATAGTATTTTAGTATATACCTAACTTTCATTTCTAGGTTCTAATTACGGCTTAACGCATGCGTGCATTTCGTTTCACATAAATTGTGGAACTCAAGCTGCTTCTTCGAACCACTTTATACTTGACCAATTAAAACGTGTATAATAAAATAATACTATGGGAATTTTACTTGATGTTAATGCTTGTAAGTTAAAAGAAGCAAAAGAACAACGCCGACTACCGACAATAATATAATATTTATTTACAATAGAATATATTTTTATGCATATCTTATTTTAAGACCTAAATATTTTTTTAAATATTATAATAAAATGAACATCTCTTCTATCTGAAAAGAAATATTTGCCATTTATAAATCTTTTTTTTTTAATATGCTTCATTATTAGACAGTAGATTAACTTTAACACACCAAAAAAATATTAAATAATCAATGAAGCGTAGATACTTATGGTTGATCGATCTACAGCTTTATGGTATGGAATGACTTTCCAATATTGTTCCATGGTTTTATTATTCAAACAAGTTGCCAATTAAAGCTAAAAACTTTTTGCTCCTTTGAATAAATTTCTTAAATAGGTTCGTAAATTAATTTAGCCAATATTTTGAGATCTTTATAAAAGAATCTTTAAAGTGTCACGAACAGTTTGACGAATAAGTTTACCAGATTTTTAATTAAAAGTTCATTTACACATTTTGTAATTATTTTATTCTATAGAAATTGTAGCTACAGCTTTCTATAAAACAGATGGTGATTACTTTTTCATGGGGTTTTGGACTCTGAACAGACAGAAAAATTGGTGTTGCATGGTTGCAATTCACATTTCATTTATTGTTTCTAATGCTATGTACAGAAATCATAAAATAAAATAGCATTTTAAATAAAACTACCTTTTCGGATTATTTAGCAGATTTATTTGAATTTTTGGTTCCCGACGTTTCGAATGCTTTACAGCAATCATGGTCACAGGAGAGACTGAGGTGTTAGATGTCTCGAAGGTATAGTTGTTACAGACAGCCTACCCACAATTAACAAAATTACACATTTGTTATTAATAATTAAACATTAAAAATAATTAGACATTGTATAAAAAATACTGTATACTGTTTCTAAGAAGTAAATCTATAACTGATGCGTCTTATTCATATTTAAAAAAACGTATATTGCCTAGAGCTAAAAATGCTTCTACAAACTGTAGAGCAGCGAGAAATGAAAAGTTTCATGTTGGAAAATATTAAAACAGTTTCTCGTACTATTGTATCCAATTTTATGGAAACTTAGCGAAATCAATTTTGGCTTACAAATTACAAGCGCCTTCATTTATACAAATAAAAATATCTATTCATATTTATTGTTTTTGCTATATTTTATTCATTTAAATTATTGCCTAAGTTATGTATGTAACACATACCACGTACGTAACACACCTCAGGCGAATATTTGTACTTCAGTCATGGGTGTTTATATTTATAATATGTATGTATTTAAAGTTATATATGTGTAGTGTATCAACTATCCGGTATCTATAACACAAGCCTCGTAGCTTACCATGGAACTAGATGGTGTTGTGTGTTAATGTCCCAATATATTATTATTATTATACACAGTTGCAACGAATAGCTAACAAAAAAGTCACTTATTTCCATATCATTTTCAAGTTGCTTGGTCATACGAAAAATATTTGCAATTTTCCAGGCAAGAGAACATTGACATTATTCATTTTAAATGAACGTAACTTGGCTCGCATAAAACAGCACGGCAATGTGCAAACTAACTTTGTTAAGGCCTAAACTTAAATAGTCTACATATCCTATACTCAGGTTGCAACAACATGTGAAAAATGACCGAATAAAAGGTAGCTTTCATAATTTTTATTATATTATTAAACTAGCGACACGCTGGTAGTGATGTTATGCAATATACTTACATTCAATGGGAACCACTTTAACCGGAATATGAAGTACACCATGGTCCAACCTATAAACTATAATAGAGCAAAAAAGCTAGTGAATTTATGGTTTCGTTGGTGCTTGGACGAAGGAAAATAAACAAACACCCATCATTTTTAAATAAATGTTATATTATTTAGTGAAACGGTCAATTAAATATAGTCTACATTAAATATTTTTTGGAAAATCTTATTGAAGTAGACATTATTATCGATACAGAGTCCGAATCTATAGTTTTTAGAATTTTTGTCTGTCTGTCTGTCTTTCTTTCTGTCTGTCTGTCTGTTTGTCTGTCTGTTACCGCATCACAGCAAAACTACTGGAGGGATTTTGATGAAATTTAGTATGGTCATAGTTGGTTATCCGGGTCAACGTATAGGATACTTTTTACCGCAGGAAAATATCTCATTTCTAAGAAAAAATACAAAAACTGGCTAGAATAAAATCACGATGATACTATATATATTTTAGCAAGGTAACATACTAAATAAGGCAAAAACTATTAAAAATAGCTTATCTTGAAAAAAATAACAATAGCGCTATTTTATTTGCTTTTTGGTTATCTAAACGCGGGCGGAACCGCGGGCAATGCTAGTCTTTTATATAAATTTGGAATTCTTAATTTTGTAACTTAAAACAAAATAATTGACACTGCGGCATAACTAGAAGTCTATTTATTATATGAAAAATACACACTCTACAATTGTAGTAGAGAAGGTAAACATGATGCACATAAATATATTTTTGCCTGTTTTATCAACCGACTTCAAAAAGGAGGAGGTTCTCAATTCGACTGTATGTTTTTTTTTTATGTTTGTTACCTCAGAACTCCGTCATTTATTAACCGATTTGGACAATTTTTGTTTTGTTTGAAAGGGTTTACTTCCAGATTGGTCCCGTTTAAATTTCAAAATAAAATTCCACCCCTAAGGGTGGAAAAACAACTAATAATGAATTTAACCTACTTCTAATTGTCATATTGACTTGAAACTTTGCAAGTATTTCTATTTCCGTTGATAGTACAGTGGTTCGGTGTTGTTGACCTGATCTGATGGCAAGGCTAGAAGGTGGATAGGTGGAACTCTTCAACGGCTAATAGTAGATACTTTGAGTTTGGGCTTATTTTGT